GTTGACTTTTAAAATTTTTTCTAAATTTTAACTTTTATTTTAGATGCAGAGGGTTCATAAAGAATTGTTCCATGGGAAAATTGTGTGATGCTGAGATTTGGATATGGGCCCCAACACCCAGATAGTGAGCACAGTATCTGATAGACAGTTTCTCTAGCCCATCCCACTTCCACCCTCTAGTAGTTCACAGCACCTATTTTTCCCATATTTTATGTCCATATGTGCTTTTTATGTCCACTTCTCAGTGAGAAAAGGCACGACTTGGTTTTCTGTTTCTACCTTAATTTGTTTAGGATTATGGCCCCAGCTACACCTATGTTGCTGCAAAGGACATGATTTTATTCTTGATCATTCATGACCTTGACATACGGCCACCTCCACCTCTCTGATTCAAGTGATCCTCCCACCTCAGCCCCCACCCCAAAGTAGCTGGGACAGCAAGTGCACACCACTATGACTGGCTCGTTTTGTATTTTTTTTTTAATAGATTCAGGGTTTCACTATGTTGCCCAGGCTGGTCTCAAGTGCCTAACATCAAGCAATCCACCCACTGTGGCCTCCCAAAGTGCTGGGACTAGAGGCGTGAGCCACTGTGCCTGGTCAATTTCATTCTTTTTTATTGCTGCTAGTATGCCATGGTGTACATGTTCCATATTTTCTTTATCCAACCTACCATTGTTGGGCATCTGGGTTAATTCTATTTCTTTGCTCTTGTGAGTAGTATAGGGATGAATATACAGGTGCATGTGTGTTTTGGTAGAATGATTTATTTTCTTGTGGGTATATACAAGGTAATGGGATTGCTGGGTTGAATGGTAACTCTGTCTTAAGTTCCTTGTGAAATCTCCAGACTGCTTTCCACAGTGGCTGAACTAATTTGCATTCCCACCAATAGTGTGTAAGCATTCCCTTTTCTCTTCAGCCTCATCAACATAGGTTGGCTTTTGGCTTTTTAATAACAGGTATTCTGACGGTGTGAGATGACATCTCATAGTGGCTTTGATTTGCATTTCTCTGATGATTAGTGATGACAAGTGTTTTTTAATGTTTGTTGGCCACTTGAATGTCTTCCTTTTAGACATCTCTGTTCATGTCCTTTGCTCATTTTTAATTGAATCATTTATTTTTTAATTGTTGCTTTAAGTTCCTTATAAATGCTGAATATTAGAACTTTGTTGGATGAATGGCTTGCAAATATCAGCTCCCATCATGTAGATTGTCTGTTTGCTCTGTTGATAGTTGCTGTTGCTGTGCAGAGGCCCAATAGTTTAATTAGATCTCACTCATCTATTTTTGTTTTTGTTGCAGTGTCTTTGGTGACTTAGCCAAAAATTCTTTGCCAAGGCCAATGGTGAGAAGAGTATTTCCCAGTTTGTCCTCCAAGATTTTTACAATTTTATGTCTTACATTTACATCTTTAACCCATATTGTAAGATTTTCTGTATGGTAAGATGTAGGGCATCCAGCTTCAGTCTTCTGCATATGGCTATCAGCACCATTTATTATTCAGCAATAGGGAGTCCTGTCCCCATTGTTTGTTTTGGTCAGTTCTGTCAAAGATCAGATAATTGTAGACATACAACTTTATTTCTGAGTTTTGTATTCTTATCCATTGGTCCATGTGTCTGTTTTTATGCCAGTACCATACTGTTTTTATTACTGTGGCTTTATAATATAGTTTGAAGTCAAATAGTGTGACACTTTTGGCTTTGTTCTTTTTGCTTAGAATTGCTTTGGCTCTTTGCATTCTTTTTTGATTCCATATATATTTTAGAGTAGTTTCTTCTAATTCTGTAAAATATGGCATTGGTAGTTTAATAGAAATAGCATTTAATCCATAAATTGTTTGGGCATTATGGCTGCTTAAATGATATTTATTCTTCCAATCTATGGACATGGAATCGTTTTTCATTTATTTGTAATGGCTCTGATTTCTTTCAGCAGTGTTTTGTAGTTCTCCTTGTAGAGATCATTTATCTCCTTGACTAGGTGTATGCCCAGGGCTTTCATGTTTTGTAATTGTAAGTTGCATTAGGTTCTTGATTATGCTCTCAGCCTAAATCTTGTTACTGTATAGAAGTGCTACTGATTTTTGTACATCGACTTTGTATCCTGAAGCTTTACTAAAGTTACTTATAAATTATAGGAACCTTTTGGCAGACTCTTTAGTATTTTCTAGGTATATAATTATATTGTCAGTAAAGAGAGATAGTTTTATAGTTGCCTTTTATCACTTATTCTTGTCCAATTGCCCTAGCGAGGATTTCCAGTACTATGTTGAATAGAAGTGGTAAGAATGGGCATTCTTGTCTTATTCTAGTTCTTAGTGGGAATGGTTCTAGGCTTTGTCCATTCAGTATGATGAATGGTCTGGGTTTGTCATAGATGGACCTATTAGTTTGAGGTATGTTCCTTTGATGCCTAGTCTGTTGGGAGATTTTATCATAAAGAGATGTTTGATCTTATTGAAAGTTTTTTATGTGTCCATTGAGATGATTATATGGTTTTTGCCTTTTATTCTGCTTATGTAGTGAATGGCATTTATTGATTTGTGTATGTTGAAACAGCCTTGCATCCCAGGAAGAAAGTCTACTTGATTGTGATATATTAACATTTCGATGTGCTGCAGGATTTGGTCTGCTAGTATTTTGGTGAGGATTTGTGTGTCTATGTTCATGAGGAATTTTTTAATATTGATTTGAAGTTTTCTTTTTTACTGTGTGTTTGTTAGATTTTAGTATCAGGGTGATGCTGATTTCATAAAATGAGTCATTGTGGAGACTCTCCTCTTTGATTTTCTGCAATACTTTCAGTAGGATGGGTATAAGTTCTTCTTACATTTAGTAGAATTCAGCTGTGAATACATATGGTTCAGTGCTTTTTTGGTTTGTAGGTTATCTATTACTGAATCAACTTTGCAAGTTGACATTGGTGTATTTAAGATTCAATCTCTTCTTGATTCAGTTTTGGAAGATTGTGTGCTTCCAGGAATTTATCCATTTTCCCTAGATTTTCTTATTTGTGTGCACAGTTATTCATAGTAGTCTCTAAAAATCTTTTTTTATTTCTGTAAAATCAGTTGTAACATTGCCTTTGTTGTTTCTTATTGTGCTTATTTGAATCTTTTCTTTCTTTTTATTTGTTAATCTAGCTATCAATCTTATTTATTTTTTCAAATAACCAACTCTTAGTTTTATTCATCTTTTGTATGGATTTTTGCATCTCAATTTCATTAGATTCTCTAATTTTAGGAATTTCTTTTATTTGGATAGCTCTGGTGTTGGTTTGTTCTTTTTTTTATAGTTCCTTTAGGTGCAGAGTTAGAGTGCTAATTTGATAACTTTCTAACTTCTTAATGAAGGCATTTAGGGCTATGAAGTTTCTTCTGAACACTGCTTTGGCTGCATCCCAGAGATTTTGGTAAGTTGTGTCCTTATTTTTGATAATTTCAAATAACATTTTTCCTGTCTTAATTTAAATCTCCATTCAGGAATTATTCATGAGTAAGTTATTTTGTTTTCATGTAGTTGTGTGGTTTTGAGAGCTCTTCTTGGTATTTTCTATTTTTATTGCAGTGTTATTCAAGTGTGTGCTTGATATACTTTCAATTTTTAAATTTATTGAGGCTTGCTTTAAGACTGATCATGTAGTTTATGTCAAACTATGCTCTCTTCTTCAGATGAGAAGAATATATATTATATTGTTGTTGGGTGGAGTGTTCTGTACATGTCTATTAGGTCCAATTGTTCAAGTGTCAAGTTTAAGTCCAGTGTTTTTGTTTCTTGTTAGTTTTTTGCCTCAGTGATCTGTCTAACACCGTCAATGGTGTGTTATAGATTTCCACTATTCTTGTGTGGTTGTCTAAGTTATTCGTAGGCCAAGAAGTTGTTTTATGAATCTTGGTGCTCTAATGGTGGCAATCGTGAGTATACACACACACACACACACACACACACACACACACACACACACATATATATATATACGTGTATGTATATATATATGTATATATATACACATATATAAAAATATATATATTCAGGATAGTTAAGGCTTCTTGTTGGATTATAGTCTTTATGTAATTCCTTTCATTATCCTTCCTAATTTTTACTGGCTTAAAATCTGTTTTATCTACTATAACAATAGTAACTTCTGTTCTTTTCTGTTTTCTGTTTTCATAATACATCTTATAGCACCATTTTACTTTGAGCCTGTTGGTGCCACTATATGTGAGATAGGTCTCTTGAAGATGGTTGGGTCTTGTCTCTTTGTCCTGCCTGATGTTCTATGTCTTTTAAGTGGAAATGTTTAGCCCTTTTACATTGAAGTTTAGCATTGGTATTGATATGTGTAATTTTAATCCTATCGTGTTGTTGGTTGGTTTTTATATAGGCTTGATCATATAGTTGCTTTATGGTGCCTGTGGGCCATGTGCTTAAGCACACTTTTGTGGTAGCTGGTGTCATTCTTTCAAATCCATGTTCAGCACTCCATTAAAGACTTCTTGTAAGGTTGGTCTAGTTGAAATGTGTTCCCTCAGCATTTACCTGTCAGAGGAGGATTTTATTTCTCCTTCACTTATAAAACTTAGTTTCTTTGTGTATCCTTGCATTTGCAACTGTGTTCTGAGGTGCAAAGGGGAGAGAGGTGACCCTCCCACTGTATCTCTTATGGGTCTTGGAGGAGCTGCCTCTGATAACTGGAACTGTGCCCACAATTTTGTTGTTGTTCTCAGGTTTTTCAGGCCATGGGGCTTCCTTGGGGAGAGGTCTGGTAGGAAAACAGGCCACATCTTTGCCACACCAGCCCTGTGCAGGGAGGCATGGGCTTAGGTCCCAAACCAGCCCACAAACTTGTGTGACTCAGACCTCTCAGTCACGCAGGTTTCTGAGAATGTGGGCTCCTCCCTCATTCAGGTCCCAGCTCAGCACTCTTGAGTGGCAGGCTGCAGCCATGGGGTAATAGGATTTGCTCACAATTCCCTCCTTCAGATGTTTTGGGTTGGTTTCCAGGTGCAGTTGGAGATATGAAGGGCTCAAGGCTACTGGAATGCACTCAGATGGAGCAAATTTATCCAGGCTGGACAGTGGAGGCTGTACCATGTACATGCCCCTACAGGGTAGGTAACCAGGCAGGGTCCCTGGGAGGGGCTGGTGGGCAGGCAGATCTGAAGGACAGGTATACTCCAGCCCTACAGAGAAATGAATCCTTCTTTCTCTCTGGTGGTTAGTTGGTGCCTGGGCCTCTCAGAGGGAGACAGGCAGCCCTTGGGGATGGGTGCTTATAGCTGGGCTTCACCAGAGCTCACTCACACTGTAAGGTCCCTGGTTGTGTGCTTGCTGCAGCTCCAACTCCATCTAACCTCTGAGCAGATGTCCCTGCCAGCTCATGCATTTGTGGGAGTGTGGAACACCTTACAGCAGCTGGGATCCCAGAGGTCTGTGCTAAGAGTGAGTAGCTACCCAGTCCCTTCATTAACCCCTTCTCCAGGTGCTGTTTGAGGTCAGGAACTAGCCATAGCATTCAGGCATCCCACATAGGGTCCCCAGCTATATTTAGTCTCGGTGACTGAGTCTTTTCTCCATTCACATGTGGCATTTTCTCCCTGAAAGACCTGTGCAAATTATGTTTTGCACATGGTCTCTCTCTGTGGGGGCAGCACTCCCCAGTTGCATCTAGCTGACAATCTTGGAAAAAGTCTGGGTTGATTTCTATTGTGTTTTTTCTCCTCTTTATGGATACTATTTTTCTTTCTTTTTTTAAACATATCTGGTAATTTTTGATTGAATGTAAGACATTGTTATTTTACCTTGTTTAGTGCTGGATATTTTTGCATTGTTATAAATATTTTTACAATCTGTTTTGCAATAAAGTTATTTAACGATTTTTGAAATCGTTTTTCTAATTTGGCAGGTAAAACTGGAGCAGCTTTTACTCTAAGGCTAATTATTTCCCACCACTAAGGTTAGAATCTTCTGAGCATTCTACCAAATGAACCATAAGCTCAAATCTTAGTTTGTGATAATTAAGGCAGTTTCTCTCTTTTGGTTAAAAACTTACATTGAAAAAAAATCTAATATTTGTATTTCTTTTCTGTTTCCTAATGCTTAGCTTGATGCTTTTGAATAGAATCTTTAGTCAAGATGCTATTAGTTGCAAATGTTAGAAAGTTCAACTCACAATGACTTAAACAAATTGGTTCACATATCACAGTGGTAACAGGCATCAGATTCAGTGTGATCCAGCATCTCAGGTATTGATTCACAAGAATGTGACTCTTTCTACCTCTTTACCCTGTGTCTCTTGATTTGGAATTTGCTCCCAGAAATCCCTTTATCTTCCAGCATCTCCCAATCTGCATGCTTATAGTTTAGAAAGCTCAGGGGAGGACCAGGAACAGTGGCTCACACCTATAATTCCAGCATTTTGAGGGGCTGAGGCAAGCAGATCACCCGAAGTCAGGAGTTTGAGACCAGCCTGACCAACAGGGAGAAACTGTGTCTCTACTAAAAATACAAAATACAAAGTTAGCCAGGTGTCACTACAGTAGCCTGCCTGTAATCCCAGCTACTCAGAAGGCTGAGACAGGAGAATCACTTGAACCCAGGAGACGGAGGTTGTGGTGAGCTGAGATCTCACCACTGCACTCTAGCCTGGGCAACAAGAGAGAAGCTGTCTCAAAAAAAGAAAAAAAGAAGAAAGCCCAGGGTAAAGACAAATTATATATTTATTTGTCTTCAAAATAGTTCCAGGCAATGTTTTGGGATTAAATCTCACTAATATGTCTTGGGTTGCCTGATCAAACTTGAAGGAATCATTGTGGATATATGAAATATTCTGATATTTTCGTTTATCAGGCTTGCATCACATGCCCAATTTAAAACCTGGGTAGGTAAAATGGACACAGTCTCATTTTGGATACATGTGTTGAAAATAGAAAAAGAATAATATCTGAGCAAAACCACAGCGATGTTATTAAAAGATACGGAGAGTGAGAATGCATAGACAAAGGCAATCACTATTGCTACGTATTGATTCAAGCCAATTACTGTGAGACCATCAGAACCTCCTCAGTTAATTATACACAGTATTTTTGTTTCTACATTTATACATTTGTGAAACATTCGGTACATTCCCCAGATCCCATCCTCCACTAATATTCACATATGTGTATACAGTCTCCCTGGGAAGCTGGACTATTAATGGTAAAGACCTGTCTTGCATTTTGTTTAGATTTGTCCTCTACATGCTGAGAATGGCTCTGGGCAAAGAATATATATATTCACAGAAGATTTATTGTATAAAGGAATTAATGAATATGATTCTTATGCATATACTAAATGTCAATGCCTTTCCTTTTTCAGCTTGATTGCCATTGTTTTCAAATGTTGACTCTAAAACTGTTATTTGCTTTTCATAAGGAGTTGTTGATTGCAAGTTCAAAATCAATGACAAACAAATTATCTTCAAATTTGAGAATGATAATGTCTACCTCATCAAGGTTGTAAGAATATCAAACAAGCAATCAGGTGTAAAATATTTAGATCAGCACCTAACACACAACACTTAGCATATTTTAGATAATATAAATATCTGTAAATCTGACACCTTCAATTTCATCTTTTTAGGATTTGAAATGGAATAATAAAGGCCTGATTTGCAAAGTGGTATGTAGAACCTACTTAGCAACAGGAATAAGGCTAGGACTACAAATGAGAAAAGCACTACAGTATCAATCTGTTTTGTAAATTCTGGTGAGAGCAGATTATTAAGTGTTTGACATACTGTCATTCCTGTCATTCATGAGTTCTGTTGCCCATTGTATCTGGCTGTTTTTCTTTCCCTTCAGAAACACGTAAAGATAGGCGCATCTGCAGAAATCCCTTCTTGAACCTATTTAATCATTCTTTAATTCATTTCTTGAGTTAACACTGTTGAGTGGCTATGATGATAATAGCTATCATCATTGAGTACTTAACTATGTACCAACACAATTAGAAGCACTTTACATAAATTAATTGTTTTAATCTCCACCGCAACCCTATATGACAAGTGCTATCATTATCCTCATTTTTAAGATGAGAGCATTGAAGCACCTCTTTGTTAAGTGCATTGCCCAAGGTTACACTGGAAATAGTGGCTCACATGGAAGCTGTCGATCTACAGTGAACAAGTCATCCCTACTCTCTTGTTGCCTCTAGGAGGGAAATTCACTCTCCCAGACTTTCTTGCAGGCAGGGGTGGCTATGGGACAGACATATGGCCAGATAAGCATAGTGATCAGTGTGATAAGCATGCTTCAGGGGAAGCTTTTACTTCTACGCTTCATAGGGACCAACATGCTCAATCTCCCATCTGTTCTCCACTTCTTCCTGCTTTGAACGTGAACACGTTGCCTGGCATAGTGATTGCCATCTTGTCACTATTAGGGAGTGTCCAAGCCAGTTGCACAGGTGCCACCTGATGTCCTTGGGTTGTGGAGCCAAAGCCTGCACTCACGTTGCTCCAGGCTTCTATTTATGTGGGGATAAAACATGACCTTTGTTGGTTTAACTCACTCTGTCAAGTTTTCTGTTACTGGGTTTAAACATAACTGTCAGTAAAACAAGTTGGCTGAGCCTGGATTCCAAGCCAGAGAGTCTGATCGCAGAGCCTGTAAGGGGGGACGGGGGTTCCCGGCTCCCAGAGCCCGTAGGTTCTTGGCCTCTCTAACCCGGAAGAATGGGGAAAGGGGCCCCTGAGGCGCCGTGAGCTTTCCGTTCGAATAAATGTCATGGACCCAGAGAGTTTTGTGGAAGAGCGATTTATTAGACAGAGAGAGAGAAAGAGAGAATAGGGCTCCCACACTGCTGTGGGAGGGGACCCCAGAGCGGGAAGTCCTTCGGGTAGGAGCAGCTGAAGGGTTAACCCTTGGGTTATTCCCGCCCCATTCATGTTCTTGTCCAATGAGAGGAGGCCTTTCAAACGTCCTCTCGAGTGATTGATGTTTGACTCTGATTCCGGATTGGCTACTTGGTCCACAGCCCTGCGTTACAGAGCCCCCTCCTCCCAGAGCTTTCCACCGGAATTTGGGACAAAAGTGCCCCACCTGGCTTTCCCTACCTGGACCCCTGCGGGAAAACCAGGCAAAGAATTGTACATTTGCTCCCTGGAGCGGATCCACGTGTCCTTCATTCTGAGATTCCTCTCAAGTGTCCAACACTATTCCAGGGCCTGGGGATTGATGGAGATCAGAAAGCACAGGTGCAATGCCCTCATAATACTTGCAGTCTAACGCTTTTAAACGTTCAAAATTATAAAGCAAAACTATGGTTACAAATTGTGGCAAAACTATGCAGAGAAACACTGAGTGCTGTGAGAGAGAATGATTCAGGGCCACTCAGGATAAAAAGATAAACTGACACTTGTTAACTTTTAAAATTTCCCTGATGTGAGAGCTTAGGGGAAAGATTCCATGGGTGCTTGGAAGCAGGAGTGCTGGGACATTACTGGTTGCAAAATCTGGTGTGGAGTTGTTTACATTCAGTGGTTGGCCTTTGTTTATGTGTGCTGTTGTCCATTTAAATCTGAGCAAAAAACAAAACTTCCTTTAACTTAATACTCAGCTTAGACAAGAAGATGGCCGCTTCTAAAACAAATGTTCTGTGGACATTTTGAAAAAATATTAAATAATATAGGGCACAGTGGTTCACACCTGCAATCCCAGCACTTCAGGAGACCAAGGCAGGAGGATCGCTTAAGTACAGGAGTTCAATACCAGCCTAGGCAATATGAGAAAACTCTGTCTCTACAAAAAATATAAAAATTTAAAAAATTAGCCTTACATGGTGGCACGTGCCTTTAGTCCCAGCCACTCAAGAGGCTGAGGTGGGAGGATCACCTGAGCCTGGGAAGTCATGGCTGCAGTGAATAATGACTAAACCACTGCACTTCAGCCAGAGAGAGAGAGAGGAAGAGAGGAAGGGAGAAAGGAAGAAAGGGAGGAAGGGAGGAAGGAAGGAAGGAAGGAAGGAAGGAAGGAGGAAAGAGAGGGAGGGAGGGAGGGAGGAAGGGGGAAGAGAAGGCAGGAGGAAGGAAGGAAGGGGGAAGGGAAGGAGGGAGGGAGGTAAGAAGGGAGGGAGAAAGGAAGGATGAAAGGAAGCAAGGGAGGGAGTGGGTACGGGAGAGGGAGGGAGGGAGAAATGAAGGAGGGAAAGAGGGAGAGAAGGAAGGGAGGGAGGGAGGGAGGGAGGAAGGAAACAATAAGCAAAAGCCATGCTCTGATTGTGCTGTGTTAGACGTGTCTGTGAGTATTTGCTGGAGCCTATGGGTGGTAAGACTGAGTAAAGCAGGAAATCCAGAGCTTGCAGTAACTGGCCCTGATGTGCTGGGGGCCACTGAGACTGTCTTAGTCTAGCAAGCCTGCTTGCTCATCTCGGTTTAGGACAGAATGCCATCCAATGGCTCTTAATAGTCTATTTGCTGTGAATGTATCAACTCTTTCCATATCTATTACTTTTTAAATTGAATAGGAAAGAAAGTCAGTGCAGTAGCTGAGTTAGTAATTCTCCTGCCCCCCATACAATTTTCATGTTTGCTGTAATGGTATATTCTTTTCAAATCATAAAAGTCTTTGTCATGGCCATTGTCATTGGAAAAGCTGCTTTTGTTCCTCTAGAAGTTGTGACAGTTTGAGAAGATAATTCTGCCCTCACTGTCACACTCTGTAATTCAGGCCAATGTGCAAACATCTCCTAACTATCCCATGTGTCATTGTGTCCCTTCCCAAATCTGTTCTGACTGAGCACTCAATCTCTGAGTGGCTGGAAGCCAGAAAGATCTCACTAAGGAATGAATACCTATGGCAGAAATTCTCGTGGGATCAGCTTTCATCTGCCCAGAATGGGGGAACCCTGGATCTTAATCTCAAGAAGAAGTAAGTCTTTCGAGTCCTTCCTAGTAAAAGAATATTTCCTAAACCGTGTTCACATGCCACCACCATAATGTTTGCCAATTCCGTGGACCACCTGCCTTTACTTTCTTGATAGTAGTTTTCAAGTAAACCAACTTTATAACTTATCATATGCTAGCTTAATTCAAAATCACAAAAGCCATCACATCATATCACGCTCTTTAGAATTTTCAATACTCGTAAAAAAATTAACTATTAAAATGCAATGCTTATCCGTGTACCCCCAACATCACTCTGAACATCAACACATTTTAATTCTGCCCCAAGAACATGTCTTCTGCTTCTTATTCTAGTTGACCAGCTTTATGTCTCTAAATTCAAGTAGAATCCAGTTTATGGTTCTCTCAATTTCTTTCCAAGGGTCTGTTTGAACCACAGTCTTTTGTTTCTGCCTATTTTTTTAAAAAACACATTGTGGTTGGTCTTTTCCTTTTGCAGCAGAGACCTCAGAGGTTAGCTCCTCAGAAACATCCATCCTCCTTCAACTTGTTAAAAGGAGCCCCTCAGTCTCCATCTATGTGTTCATTTTGAAACCTTAACAATGCTGAGTAGGCCGGGCGCGGTGGCTCACGCTTGTAATCCCAGCACTTTGGGAGGCCGAGGCGGGTGGATCACAAGGTCAAGAGATCGAGACCATCCTGGTCAACATGGTGAAACCCCGTCTCTACTAAAAATACAAAAATTCAGCTGGGCATGGTGGCGCATGCCTGTAATCCCAGCTACTCAGGAGGCTGAGGCAGGAGAATTGCCTGAATCCAGCAGGCGGAGGTTGCGGTGAGCCGAGATCGCGCCATTGCACCCCAGCCTGGGTAACAAGAGCGAAACTCCGTCTCAAAAAAAAAAAAAAAAAAAAAACAATGCTGAGTTCTGTGTTTCCTCACATTTCATTTTCTCCTAGTCAGAGGTTGAATTTAAATTTGCTTCTATCGTAAGAACTTCAAGGTAGATAGAAGAGCCTTAAAGTTTTCTCCTTTAGTATGAAAGTTGTAAGAGGAGTTCATTTCTTCTTGCCGTCTAAAATTAGACCTGGGAACTGTTGAAGGAGACGGCGCCTGAAATGGTTGATAGTTTTGACACAAAACAAATGATATTGTATGATACATACGTATTTTTTTTAATTTGGAAGTTCCAATTCAGCACGACATGTTTCCTGGTTGTGGAGACCACTTTTTCAAGATGAATTAGCTAAATAGCTGCCTGGAATGTGAATGCAATCTGTGTATCGTGAGCCTTGCAGAAACTAAGCGAGTGGAAGGGCATTGGCAACAAACTGGGTTTGAAAAGAACTGCAGCAACTTATCCACATTTTGATGCATTCATATTGCTTTTCTCTGCAGAGGAATATGAATGCGTTTAAAATGTTAATGGAGGAATATGAATACATCAAAATGTGGATGAGTGGTTGCCCTTGGTTGCCTTTGACTGTGCACATTGTCTGCTGTTCCTACAATCGTCATGGCAGAAGGGAGACATGAATCACTGCACCTGGCACTGGTGTCCTCGTGTGTGTATCTTGAAGAATTGCCCTGGCAATTTCCCGGGTCTTTTCTCTGTCCTACAGAGCGCCTAAAATAGAGCCCCATGAGCTGGGACCCTTACTGTCATGTTCTGAAAGCGGCGATTCAGCCCACGGTGGGCTTTGTTCTGCTGTTGCAGTCTTCTTGGTTGAGTTCACTGATGATTAATTTCATGTCAACGTGACTAGGTCACGGGGTGTTCCGATAGTTGACTAAACAGCATTTCTGAATGTGTCTGTGAGGGTATTTTTGGATGAGATTAGCATTTAACTTGGCCGACTGCAGATAGCCTTCTTAAATGTGACTGGGTGGGTGTCA